CCCCAAAACCCCAAAACCCCAAAACCCCTGGTTATAAGATATTCGATAATTTTGAGATTTATAATTCACATTAATAAATAAAAGCAATAGTTTAATTTCTTATTTCATATGATATTCGCCATCTTTTCTTGTTAATCTCTGATAGCTGTTTGCAGTTTAAATTGCTATGACTACGCACTAGACTTAACATCATTTACTGTCAAGCACCCAACATCTTTTTATTACCAAATTAAGATATTAAAATTAGTGGCTGAGAACTGAGTATAGTAGCTATAGCTTGTATAATCATATAGTCTTGGGTTTGATTACAGATAAGTGACGCCTGTAATACACAAGCTTCTGTTTTAAATCAGAAAGATGGTAAAGTTCTCTGGGCTAGTGAAGTTCTTTGAGGCATCTGTGATATTCTTAGACATTGATAATAGTGACACTGGCTGATAAGTGTTATTTACAGAGAGATATACTAGCTTTTAATCAGAGTTAGGATCCTCATAGACAAAGCAATTTAAACATTTATTATAGAGAATAGGTCCTTTAACCAAATAAGCTTCCCAAGTAATCTGAGGATTGTAGAAATTAACATAAGTTTAAATGTATTCGTCAGCACCCTTAATTAGATCTTCATTGTTCAGACCTGAGTCCAAAAGATTTTTAGTTTGTTGAATCAGATTTATCATTCCATTTTCAAAGTAATTATCAAGAATGTCTTCGTATGTATCAACTACTGTATCGTAAGCATCTTTTACATAAGGCCCATAGATCTTATCAAGAGTAGTTACTGAAGCAGACCCATCAATATAACCTCTAAAAGCTGATTCAACTATGACTGCAATATTGAGAACTTAAAGAAGATAAGATCCTTGGTATGCAAAGACATCAGAAATTCCTGCCTAGAATCCATTCTTGACTGATCCGTACTTAATGACATCTAAAATTAGGCAGTCAGATGGAGTTTCACCAATTAAAGAGTACATCATTCTCCTAAGAGATTCAGCACACATATCATCCACACAGAATTGTAGAAATTCTTAGTAGGAGGTCTCATTGTAATTAAGTTGATCTTAAATCACATTAGCCAAAAGCAGTTTAAATCCGTCAAATATTTTAGAAGTAGAAATCAAATATCTCTAGTTGCAAGTATCATTCTAGTAAGCATGCATTATGCTAGATATATAGGTCATTTCTTAAAATTGCTAATCAATTAGGAGGTTAATCGATTAGAGAACTCCGATAATATCCATTTGCTCTTGATATGGATACTAGTCAATCTAGACTAATGCGTAACCAAGTTTAATTAGCCTTTAACTATATTGTGATTAATATGCTTTTATCTAGCTGATCATTTAAGGGCCTTTGCCAATGACATCTTAGAGCTCATCAGCGACAGTAAAACTCATTGAAGTAAGACTACTCATATCTACATACGATTGATTAAAGTCGTAGCTTAGATCAGCCTAGGAATTTTACAATGATATTGAAAGTGTGGATAAGAGTAGGATGAGAACAGGACCAAGTGTATTATTAAGTTTCATATTTATATTTATCAATTATTCAAAAGCAATTAAATCTATCGATTATGAATGTAGGGGTTTTGGGGTTTTGGGGTTTTGGGG